CCACAGTCTGCGAGAATGCAGGCCAGTGGCGTTGAGGGGCCGCAGCCAGAAGGGGCCAGCAGCACAAATCCACAGCAAAATGCTAGTGGTTCCATACTTTCCTTGTTTCCTCAGTGGCAGCCATGGATATCTCACCTGCATTCATTTGTCTCTCCTCCTGATCCTCCCCATGTCACCCTCTTCTATGATCGCGATGGAGATGTCACATATGAGACCCTGTTTGAGGAAAGTTTGGCAGGAACAGTTCAACTCCTGCACACAACTGACATTTATGTTGGCAAAGAAGGGGTTGAATATAACACACAGTTGTGGTAATTTCAGATCAGATCATCTGCTCTGCTGCTGGCTGTATGATCTCCGGATATATCTGCAATAAAAGGTAATAGTGCACTTTGATATTTGGTGTGTGACTGAAATTCTTTCCACTATCTGGACTCGAGAAGAAGTCTGGGACTTCACAGATACAGTATGGAGAAGAAGTCTGGGACTTCACAGATACAGTAGTAGCCTTTTGAATAGTACAGTTAACACTTTAATAAAATGGTTTCATGCAGTATGACATTTGCTGGTTTTATTCGTCACTATGTGCACATTTTCGGTTTATTACCAAGCCAGAAATGCTATTGTAAAATGTAGTGGATACATGGCGGTCACGTTCCAGTTTAAAGGGGAACAGCGCCACTTCAAGGACATTGTACATTACAGTATATATTAAGCTGATTAATTCGATGTACATGATGTTCCATGGGTTGCGGTTAAAAATATAAACATTTGTACAAGTTTAGAAACCACCCCGTAGTTCAGTTGGTGTTGGGGGTGAATCGCTGGGAGTGAATTGTGTTACTTTGGGTTAAGATGACATTAGTAAAATCGTACCTGAACATGATTGTGTGAATAATAAGTGTGTGTTAGCAGAGTTAACTAACTATGGCCACATGCACATTGGACTGGGTTAAGGCCATTCAGTACCTGGTTATGTTAACATGTGAATAAGAGGAAGAATCATTCCTCTCCTGTGAAATAAACCTGCTGAAGCGTGTCCTCTGTGTACCCTCTATCCCAGACACACACGTATGCCCTCTGAATCCCAGAGGAGCAACATAATATTGAACTAGTAATTCATTCACCATTGAAAACAACATAAATAGTAAGAGATCATGATTATAAACTGTTTATCATCCCAAAAGATGGCGTAAAAACACAGTATCTGAAACAGGTTCGTTCTGCAAGCATACATTTCTCTCTACAGTCTCAGTTGTTCAGTAAATATGACTGACAGTAATGAATTAAAATATTCAAAGGTCACTCCTATCCATGAGAACAGAACAGGTCAAGTGTTTATTGAATAAAATCAACATTTATGTTAAAACCAAACATTCTAATATCGAGAAAAATCACATTACAATAGCTTTTCTCAGTTGTTTGTTTTTCGGCTGAGTCGGTGGCCTGAGGTGTTGCCAAAAGAAGGGTGGAGGGCCAGAGAGGATGTCACCCACTGAGTTCTCTGGCCGGCATTCTGAGGAGAATGTGTCATAATTATATCATACAAAAAATATCCTCTGCATGCAACGCACGTGGCGCATTGTGGCAGTTATTTATTAAAGTGCTGGTTATTGTCTAAGAAGGCGCAGACAACCAGGAATTAAAACAGAGTGATTTGGCGATGATGGTTAATTAAAACCTGAAATTGCCTTTGGACTTACTGGACATATAAATCTCTTGATCACAGGCAAGAATCTTGACTCAATCTTCTCTCTGTTCTTGACTAAACAGTTACTATTGCTTACACTTGGAAATAATTATTTTATGCGTCATTTTCTCTCTAAAATCAACTGGAGATGATTTCAGGGCTTCCTGAACAGAAAACATTGATGGCTGCAGTCATGAACTCTGACCACAGTCAGGGAAACATTCACCTCTCCACCTGGTCTGAAAGTGTAGGTGGTACTTTATTGAAACGAAGATGGAAAATAGAGTGAGGAGAGAAGAGGAATGAACATTTACAAGACAACTACAGAAAGATAAAAGCAAAAAAGCAGGACAGATGGATCACAAATGTGGATGACAGCACTTCCTTCCCCACAGAAAGTCCAGTCTTCACATCCAGCAAAGTACATTCCCTTCTGCAGATTTTGTTAAAAGCACATGCACTGTAGGATTAAGACAAATTATTTCATGTTGATATTCACAAATACAGAATGCTACAAGCTGGTCAAGGCTGAAGCCAGTTAACTGAGTTTGTTTTACATTTTCAAAACTGATATAATGACATTGAGCTAACTATTTTATCTTCATTCATAACTTTAACCTGAAGTTAACTCACATTTTCCAGTATGTTGTCTTATAATGATTTATAGCGCTGGTGCAAATCCAGTTCTACCCTGAGGCAAAGCTGACCTCAGGGCTCTGTCCAAGTCAGTCAGGTTCTTCCACACCAAGCTGGATAATCCATTTCTTTATGGACCTGGCATGAAGGGACATAGTCACGGACAGCCCCTTCCCCAAACTGTTGCACAAAGTCTGAAGCACATATTTTCTAGAATATCTCTACAACTGCTCTGTTGGGACATGACAGCGAGCAAAACAATGACCTCCAGTGTTAAGTCCCTGCACTCCGGCTTATTTCAGGGGGTTTTGTGACCGTATTACAATATGACACATCTGCTTTTGCTTTTGAGAGACAACAGTCTTCATTCATGTAACCATATGATTGTCAGATTCTACCATTATGGTGCTTTTGTTCTCAACAAACACAAGTAATTATTTTCATACCCATGTTGCATATGAAAAAACTGAGACCATACTGTCATTTTTCTGCATTAAAAATGGCTCTTTCTCTTGTACCCTTCATTAATCTTTATTCTTTTTTCTCTCCATTCTCACTTTGTTCTCTCACTTCTCCCACTTCTCTCTTTCACCAATTATTCCTCCTTTGCTTCTCTGCCCCAGCCTCCCTCCCCCCAGCTCATCATTCACCTTCTTTCTCCTCCTCCTCCTCATCTCCCTCACAGACCTCTCTTTTTCCCTCCTCTCTGCACTGTTGTTCACACACTTCCCAGTGGAGAATCTGCAGTGTGCTGCCAGTCTGTGAACTGGAGAGACACTGAGACGACACAAACAAGTCTTCAGAACCAACTTTTATTGCAGTATTTTGTACAAAGACCTACTGGTGCTCTTCTTATTTCCTCCGAGGGTCAAGTTCTTCCAAAAGAAAGTGACGATGCTTTCCTTCTACCTCTTGACTTTTGCTGGTGAGTGCAGCTGGTATTTTCTAGGTTGAGCCAGTGCTGGTGCATGAGGACATGTTTTTGTTAATGCCAACTGCTATGATTCATACTTACCATTCCCGCGCTCCTCTTTTTCTGTTTCTCTGCTCCAAGCCAGCGTCCAAGCGTATAACCAGTTTCTGCCAGGCTCCTGCAACTTTGAATCCAACACATGTGGATACACATCAGATGCAGAGTTTACAAGCTGGACCCTACACAAAGATGGTACTGGAAGACTTTACATGCTGTCACACTGATCTTTTTACTAGATTAGGAGCTTCAGAATGCCACAGCTATTTTAGTAGCAGTTGTTTTGTTGCTGATTTTGGCCCTACCATTTCAGCACACTGGTGAATAGAAGCACATCTGGCATGCATTGATTCCAGCATCTCAGTCTGAACATCTGGAGTCAGTGAAATAACACATTTAGGCATTCTCACTGGACTGGTGCTGTAGCTAATACAGATGTGCACAATACATGCCCATTTTTAAGCTATAGTACGTCCGTTTGTAGTTATGACATGATAAAGCCAATATCATTTGTATATCACTTACTTTGAGTATCCTGTTAACATATACAACATTGCTGGTGTTAATGTACTTAACACATTCTCATCTGCTGTATTTGCATTTAATATACTGTGCATGGCTGGAGGTCCATCAAACCGGGACCTCCAGCGTGCACTGGGGCGGTTTGCAGCCAAGTGTGAAGCGGCTGGGATGAGAATCAGCACCTCCAAATCCGAGGCCATGGTTCTCAGTCGGAAAAGGGTGGCTTGTTCCCTTCAGGTTGGTGGAGAGTTCCTGCCTCAAGTGGAGGAGTTCAAGTATCTTGGGGTCTTGTTCACGAGTGAGGAAAGGATGGAACGGGAGATTGACAGGCAGAT